ACTTGCATTTCCCACCTGCCAGGGACCCCCTTCTCCCAGAGGAGGTTCGCAGCTCACCTTCTCACCCTCCCTGGGGTCTTTGCTCAGAAGCCACACGCAGCGAAAGGCCATTCCCTGGCCACCTAATCCCACCCTCCCCCCTGGACAACCCAGCACTGCCCGCCTCCTGACACACTTTGCATGTGTGGGCTCCTCTTTTTTGTCTCCCTGCTCCACAAGGACAGGGATCTGTCTGCTTTGTTCACTGCCGTGTCTTCAGTGCCTGGCACATAGTAAGTATTCAGTCACTGTTTGCTGAGCGAAGGAGAGGAAGTCCACCTGCTTGCCACACGTCCCAGCTGGCAAGTAGCAGACTCTGGATCCCGCCCAGGCGTCCCGCTACGGGCCTGAACCCCCGCCGCTCCTTCCCACCGAAGGCCCGCCGCACACTGAGCCGCCCCAGCCCAGCCCCAGCCCCAGCCCCACATACAGGAACTTGCCGTCGGTCTGCGAGCTCGCGTAGAGTTTGCGCTCGGCCCTCCTCGCGCGTCAGGTTGCTGTGGTACCAGGGCATCCCGCTCGTGAGCCGTGGTGGCGATGAGCTTCTCCACCTGGGGCGCCTGGCTGAGGATGGCCTGCTCCAGGGCCTCGCCCTGGGGAACGGAGGTCAAGGGCTCTTACAAGTGACGGCAATATGCGGCCAGGAACCCGGTTTCCATCTCCCCCCACCTCCCCCTCAGATCGCTCCCTAACCCCCAGGCGCACGGGTGAGCACAGCCCCACTCCCCGTCCTCCGTCCTGTCCCCGCCCACCCAGGGCCGAGCCCCCGGTGGTCTCCAGCTGGAAGCTCGGACACTGGTAGTCGAGCGCCCAGACGTAATGCAGGGGATCAAAGACCACCGCCCATTGCCTACCCTACCCACCCTCCTCTCAACTCCGCCCAAGCCTCGCCTGGTCCCGGTCCAGAGCTACCTCCACCTTCCTTCCCGCAGGTCAGGCCCCGCCTCGGAGGCCCATTCCCAGCGGGGCCCAGCCCTCCAGCTTCCAAACCTGACGCAACGCGGCAAACCGCGGGCTGGCGAAGGGGACCCCTCTCCCCACTCCGAGCCGCTCTCACCTCCAGCTTCCACGTCTGGCGCACGTAGTCGCGCACCATGGCGTCCCGCAGGCAGTCGAAGACCCCGGGCTGCGGCTCCAGCCCCGACGGCCGGTTGCACGGCTTGCGCAGGTTGCAGGGCAGCCCGTCGGGGTCGCGCGAGTAGAACTCGCAGAGCTCGGCGGGGCCGCAGTGCGCCTTCCCGCCGGCGATGGCGTAGGTGCCGTTGAGCTGGCGCTCGATGGAGAAGTGGTGGAAGCGCACGTCGTGCACCAGCGAGAGCACGTAGCCGCCCAGCGAGCGCAGGCACTGGCGCAGCAGGAAGAGGCCGTCGGCCATGCCCGCCAGCTTCAGGTGCTCCTCGGCCTCGGCGCGCGAGATGCTGCCGTAGAAGAAGGGCAGGTGCGCAGCGGGGTCCGGCATCGCCGCCGCTGCCCCGCGCCAACTGCGCGCCCTAGCGCCTCGCCAAACCCTGCGGGTGCAAGCGAGATCGGGGCGTCAGGGCCTCGGCTTTGCTTCCTGAGCCCGGTCCACGGGCCCGGATACAGTGGGACAGAGGTCACCTTGAGGGGCATCCGTGCCCACCGCGTGGAGCCCACTTTGGGCCAAAATCAACTTGGAGAGGAGCCCCGGCCTGCTGGGCCCACACCAGGGAGTCCCAAATCCGCCTCTGACTGTTTGGAGACCTTGTGCGGAGAGCCAGACACCCCCACTGGCTCACACACACACCTGGAACCACTCATGCATCCCCAGAACCTAAAATTATCTACCTTCAGCTTCCTGGGGTGATGACGCTGGACACTGGATTCCACAGGATGCTGAATTCCTTAGAACTCTGAGAAGGTACACTTAAGATTTGTTCATTTCATTGTATTTGGACCCCTCCGTGAAAAAGAACCATCAAATATTAGACCCTGGTTAGTGATGTGTGTGCAGAAGTTTTTAGGTGGGTGCCGATGACTGCAGTTTCCTTTGAAGGCCATCCAAGCAATAACACGGACTGGGGGCTGGCCAGCTGGATGGTGCAGTCTTGTTCACAGCAGGTCTGTAGTCCGTGCAAACAGGGATTAGCAGGGGCTGAACCGCTGCTGCAGGGGACATGCAGGGGTGGGTTCCTTCGAGCCTCTGGTCACATTTCCATTAGCCGAGCAGTACATGACCTTGTAAGACGCCTCCTATTGTTGATTCATTAACATTGAACGCTCAGCCAATAGCACTACACCCATAAGCTCATCTAACTTGCACTTTTCCATATGGAGCCTCACTGCCGTCTTGCACCGAGGAACGCTAGACAGCATTTGGGGGCCAGTTAAACTGAAATCACCAACAAACAGCACAAAAATGAGGCACCAAGTAGACCGCGAGGACACTTGCTTCCAGTGTGACAGCTAAAAGGGAAGGCAGAGAGTACCTGCTCCCGGTCAGCGGGAATGCGCTGATCATGTTGAAAAATGGTCTCCTCACTGCAGTTTCTGCTCACTTCTCACTAAGGTGGGCCCAGCAAGGCCCCGAGGCATAGGCTGTGTTCAGGAACAGGGCCTGGGTGCCTTTCTCAGTGACACACATGTACGCAGTGGCACAAAGAAAGCTCTGTGGACTGAGAAAGGCTGCCCCCCCCCCCAGGGGTGCAGGGACATGGAAGGGTGGGTACTGGGTCTGAGAGGAAGATCAGTCAGTCCTCACGTAACGTTATTGACAGGTTCTTGGAAGCTGCACTTTAAGCGAGATGATGTACAAGGACCCAATTTTACCATAGGTTAATTGATATAAACAAGAGTTCATACAGCGTATTTATGGCTACAAAAACACCACCAAACTTCTAAATAAAGACTCAAAACTCTTCTAATAGTAAATGCTGACCGTGGCCAGCTAGGTCAGTTGGTTAGAGTATCATCCCGATTCACCCAGGTTGTGGGCTCAGCCCTCTGTCAAGGCACGTACAAGAAACAACCAATTAATGCGTCTCACTCTCCCTTCCTCCCTCTCTCTTTAAAATCAATGAATAAAAATTTAAAAAAACAACATTGAAATAACTGTGAGCTAGACATACATTTAGGAGAGGTGAGTAAAAACAAGTATGAGAGTTCCTTTCCAACCTGCTGATCCAGGTCAGGGTCATGGTACTCAGAGCCCACATGGCAGCTCAGGCGCCAGGGACCCAGCCTGGACGGGCGCCCTTGCACACTCACACACACACTCACTCAGCCGGGGACAGTGTAGACTCGCTGATTCCTCTCATGTGCTCATCTTGGGATGTGGAAGGAAACCCGAGTCCCTGGAGAAAACCCCTACAGACAGCAGCCCAGCTGAGAATCAAAAAATTTTTTTCTATATATTTTGTTCAATATTATAACGAAACAACATGGAACGAAAAACCACGTTATTGGAGGATCTGCCCTACTGAAATGGGAGTCATTTCAGGAGAGGCCTGGGTCAGGGCGACCGGAGGAGGGGCCAGAAGGGACTTTCTAACCAGGTTGTTTCTGACACCAGGGTTGGGAGGGCCAGGCTGGAGGCGATGAGCCAGGGGCTGCAGACTCAGTCGCCATTCCACCAGGGGGTTTAGCTGGAGCCAGGAGAGCTCCTGGAGCCGACCTGGGGAAACGGAAACCTGCATTCGCACGAAACCTGCGCAGGAACCGGAGAGCCGTCTGCTCGTAATTGCCAAAACCAGAAGCCACTCGCATGTTCTCGGCAAGTGAGCAGATAAACAGTGGAGCATCTCTACACTGAGATACCACTCAGCCATCCACCAAAACCGAATCCTGATACACCCAACAGCAGGAATGAACCTCAAAGGCCCACGCCCAGTGAAGAAGCCAGGCCCCAAACGGCCACTGTCCGATTCCATTCAAAGCTGGGTCCTTGGAGAACGCGCCAGTGGCTGCCAGAGGCTGGGGCGGGGGCAGGACTGACTCCAAACGGGCATGAGGGGATTTCGCGGTTGAGATGGTAGTTTCTCAGCTCTATGCACTTGTCAGATCTACAGAATTTCTCATGAGTGGATTACTGAGTATGTAATTTATAAATTAATTTTTTAATTAAAGGGGGATAGAAGAGCTGGGAGGTACAGACACACCAGGCACTAAATAACTGAAACAGGAAGCAGAGAGCTCCCCTTCTTGACTCCAACCCTCTCTCCCAGCCTCAGGGTCTGCCCCCCCACCCCCAGCCCCCACCCCCAAAAAGCTGGCCTCCGGGAGCACTGCTGTCACCACTGGCGGGCGCCAGGCAAACAGTTATGCCTCCTGGATACTGGGCCCTGAGTGTGGGCACTAGGGACGCGTCCTGCTGACGTCATGGCTCTCTTGGGCTCTCGATGACGCTCTGGCTTGCCTCCTCCCTCTCTGATGGCTTCTCCTTTCTCCCCTTCGCAGCCCTGGTCCCCTTACCTGGGCCATCTTGTCTGTGGCTCACCCGCTGCCACACCCACCTGCCCAGGCCAGATCTCGCTGCCGAGTTGGTTTGTGCTGCCATCACCTCCTTTGATCTCTACCTGCTGTTTCTATTAATAAAACTGAGATCCACGTCTAACTCACGTGGTGCCGGTGGTTGGTTGAGCCCCACAGTCTGTTTCCCACATGAACTGAGCAAGTTGCTTTTAGGCGATGCCTTCCCAAGGCCTCCCTCGCTCAAGAACCAGCTGCGGCTCCCTCCTGCCTACTTCACTGACTCTAACTAAGCCGCTCAGCCCACCCTCTGCGCCAGCCGGGCTGCGTGGGTCGCCTTCCTTCAAGTTCACTTCCATACTTGCACCTGTGCGGTGCCCTCTGCTGGGTCGACCTCCCCCTCCTCTCCACTTCCCAACCCAGCCAGCCCTGCCTCACAGACTCCTGCAGCTGCTCCCATAGAGTCAGGGGCACAGGACAGGGCAGCGAGGTGGGGGCCGTCCGGGACAGTGAGGAGGGTGGGGGTAGTGGATCTTGTCTCTGGGCAGGAAGCTGTGGTAGGAAACTGTCGGCAACACAGTTGAGAAGCTCCTCCCCGAGCGCCGCGGCCGCAGGTGCAGCCTGGGTAGCCAAAGGGGGTTCCTGCAGAAGCCGGGGTGCGGAGAGGCCGGCCCGGGGGCTCAGTCCAGGGCCATGAGCCATGACTGGCCACCTTGGACCCTGGGCCACGGTGTCCCAGAGCGGGGAGCGTTCTGTTTTATCCCAACTTCCGGTCACTGCCAATAGCCACGCCAGCTTTCCGAGGCGCTGGGCCAGCCCGCGGCCTCCGTGTGCCCGGTTCTCGGGCAGCGGGACCAGATGCTTCTGTCCTGAGCGTGTCCCGCAGACTCCACGGCTTTCCCGGGAGGACCCATCAGGACTCTCCCCGACCTAGTCCTGCCTGGGCTGGCCCCGCCCGCCTCCCCTTGCGCGTGTGAGCTCCTTGTGGGTTCAGAGGGCCTAACGATGCCTTCCCAGAGTGCACAGCTCCTCCGAGACCAGGGACACCCGCCAGGCCGTGAGTGGGGAGGAAACCTTTGGCCCTTGGCACACAGACCTGCCTGAAGTTCCTCCACTCAAGCATCCTTGCGGCAAAGGCAGGTTCAGTGATATCTGCTCCAGGGACGCCTGACCCCCCCACACACTGCAAAGGAGAGAAGGGTCAAGGACACTTTGAAAAGCGTCTGAGCACATGAAAGGCTCCCACGCAGCCACTATGGGAAACAGTGCGGCGTTTCCTCAGAAAATTAAAACTAGAGCTACGTACGTAGGACCCAGCAGTTCCACTTCTGGGCTTTTATTTGAAGAAAACAAAAACACAACCTTGAAAAGACATCTGCACCCCAATGCATTGCAGCATTACTTACAATAGCCAAGATATGGAAGCAACCTGGGCGTCCATCGATAGATGGTAAGTGGATAAAGAAGATGCCGTACATGTGTGCAGTGGGATATTACTCGGCCATTCTTGATTGCGTTCCGTCAAGAATGAAATCTTGAAATTTGCAACAAGACAGATGGCCTTGGAGAGCATGGTGCTAAGGGGAATGTCAGGCACAGAAAGGCAAACACTGTACGGTGGCCCTTACCGTGGGCTCTAAGACACACAGCACACAACAGAGGCTCGGAGGCGGCGGGCGGCAAGGCCCTTTGGCTTTGGTTAGTCCCACAGCCGCGCAGCGGGCCCTCAGGGTCTACGCTCCACCCCATGTCTGAGCACCACAAGCCCCATCGAATGCCCGTCACAGGGCCCAGCGGGGAGACGGGCTGCAGAGGGAATCTTTCTCTATCCCTGGACCTGCTGGAATGGGGTGGGTGGCCCCCGTTGGGCCTGCAGGCTCCACACGCCACCCTCAGCCAGACACTGAAGGGTCCCGCCCAAGGCCCGATGCAGTGAGGGCCCAGCCCCTCCCTGCCCACACTCCTCTCACGCTGCCCAAGACCCCAAGTCCCCCCTGAAGCCACTTTTTGCTCCTTTGTCCACAGGCCATGGTGGGGCCCCTGTGCCCACCACAGAGGCAGCACGGCATTTGTCAGTCAACAAAATGCCACCTTGGTTACGCGTCACAAGGACAGCAGCCAGCATGGTGCCGGGGGTAGCAGTAGGCTCCTTCAGACCTTTTTCCTGACACCAGGCGTCCGAGTTGCATCGCGGAGTCCTGGACCCACCGCGCAGTAGCAGGTGTGGTCCTGAGCAGGGAGCGAAGCTCACCAGACCCCACCTGGAAAAGGGGCCCAGCAGAGGTGTCCAGCGCCAAGGGACGGGGACTCCAGGACAGCAGGCTCACGGAGCTCGGAGCACCCGGCGCGGGACCCGGCTGCCACTCACCGCCCCCAGGACTTCCCGCTCGCTCAGGGTCAAAGCCCAAATCCTCATCCCATCACCTCCAGGCTCGCTCACTCCCACTAGCCACACGGGCGGCTCATGTCCCTTGTTTGGGTCCTTGAACAAATCAGGCAAGGCCCCACCTCAGGGCCTTGGCCCTGTCTGCTCCCTCCGCCTGCACACCCAGGACCCCTCACTCCTTGGGTCTCTGCCTAAATACCACCCTCCTCCAGAGGCCTTCCCCGCGCTCCCTCTCCACAATCGCTTTCCCCTCTGTCTCCACCCCTCACCCAGCTTCACTGCTCTTCACCCCCGGAAACGGGATACAGGTATCAACTTGCTGACATGTGACCTTTGCCATATGCCAACATAGTATGACACATCTTATGATCTGATCAGACATAAGCACTGTGAGAGTGGAAACTCCTTCTTGTTCCGCACCTAGACCAGCAAGAGGCATAGTACGTGCCCCATAAATATCTGGTTGCAGAGCCACCGGCGCGTGCCTGAAAGGCATGCAGCCCCGTGATGGGTGCAGACGCCGCTGCGGGCCGGGGACCTGGCAGCCTGGCAGGGCTGGGGGCTGAGGGGCTTCCGGAGGAGAGAGGAGGGAACGTGGGTCTGGAGGCTTCCTCCACTAACCCTGGTGGGAGGGGAGAGGGCCAGCCTGGGATCCTGCACAGGCTGTTTCCTCGCCCCCTCCACCCACCCCCACCCCCCGGAACAGCGCTCACAGCCTTCTCCCAGCCTGGGCCGCAGGTCCCCTCCATGGTCCCTCCTCCCAGAGTGCTCCTCCCGGGGCCGCGGGCACCTCCTCTGCTCTCCCAGGGCCCTGGGCGGCGGTGCTGGCAGGACGAGGCGGAGGCTGAAGGAGGCCACTCACCTGGACACAGCAGCGGGGCAGCGGCCGGGCAGGGCAGGGACCGGCACCTAAAGGTCGCCCACCCAGCAGCGGGCTTCTCAGAAACCCAGCCTGTTTCCCTGATGCACAGGCAGGAAAGGGGGCTGTGTTTGAAGCCTGCGTGTACGTCACAGGTGCCACGCTCATAGGCCACGTGCTCCTGGGAGGGCAGAGGGCATTTCCGGGGCCACCAGTGCCCCCCCCCACCCCCAGCAGGAGGTGGGGACCCACTTAGTAGGTTTCTCCTCTCTGTGCCTCTGACCTGTGGTGGCCGGTGAGACCACTGCCTGCTCCTTCTCCCCCGGCTGAGCCCCCCAGGCAGAGCCGGCAGCGGGCTTGCTTTCCACTGCAGCCCCCGCTTCCTCCCAGTAAACGT